GCAGTGCTCTGCCATGTCTCTGCTTCTGCTTGAGTTCCTTCCCTGACTGATGGACTGAGGCCTGGGACTTGTAAACTGAAATAAACCATTTCCTCCACATGTTGTTTTTGGTGTTTTTATCACAGCAATAGAGAAGCAAACCAGAACAGTAGCCTTTCCCCAAATCCCATAGTCTATTAATACCAAATACATACCACTGTATATATCTATCAAATAATGCTAAGTAGTATATATATCCTTTTCTGTAACATCATAGATCCAATGACAACATACATGGAAACAGCTTATAAATAAGCAAATGATATAAAGTTCAAACTTCATCCCACAGTGAATGTGATGGTTCTTATTTCACCCTTCTTTCAGCCTCATGGTCAATATTCTGGCATTGTTACTTAAAGATTGCTGAACTGTGTGCATTCTACCTAACCACCATAGTCAGTGCCTTGGATCATAATCCCATGTCTACTCATTTACCATTTAACTTCTGTCCCTTTTACTACAAGTTACCATTTTTTTCCAGAACTATGGAACATTCTGTAAAATCTGATCTTTACAAGATTTCATTTCTTTGATTTTAACTTTTGTCCCCTAACTTGTAAAAATCTAAAATTTCCCACATTCTCAAATGGTTGCATAAAAGTCAAGACAAAACTTTCCAATGAAAAATAAATGACTGACATTATGTCAGGGGTGAAATGGCTAGGTATTAAGTCCCTAATGGGTCTTCACTGGTGTCTCCTACAGATTTAGGATAAGAATTGCTCTCAGCCTTGTGGCTAGGGGAATAGCTCAGTTGGTAAAGTGCCTGCCCTGCAAACATAAAGACCTGAGTTTGATAGCCAATACCTACATAAAAAGCCAGGTGTGGTGGTGTATACCTGTAATGCCAGTGCTGAGGATAAAGACAGGAGGGCTCTGGCACTTGATGGCTGGAGCTTAATCACAGAGCCCCAGGTCCCAATGAGAGACCCTGTTTCAGTAAACAAAGGGAACAGCCTCTAAGGAATAACACTACAGGTGACCTTTGTCCCCCACACCCATGCACACACGTGAAAAAGCCAGGTGTGGTGGTGTATACCTGTAATGCCAGTGCTGAGGATAAAGACAGGAGGGCTCTGGCACTTGATGGCTGGAGCTTAATCACAGAGCCCCAGGTCCCAATGAGAGACCCTGTTTCAGTAAACAAAGGGAACAGCCTCTAAGGAATAACACTACAGGTGACCTTTGTCCCCCACACCCATGCACACACATGTGAATCTGCACACACACAAACAGGCACACACACACACAAGTTGGTTCTAGGAACCCTCCTAAGGAAACTCTCCTGGGCCAAAGTGTTCCCATGACAACCGATGTGCTATAGTCAGTGGTAGTGGTTAGCTGTGGGGTAACACACACACACACACACACACACACACACACAAGTTGGTTCTAGCTTTGTCTCCTGTTAGCAGAAAGGAAAGCAGTGTGTGTGCTTCCTGGACTGCCTATCTCAGAGTCAGTAGTAGGGATGCCCTCTGTGGGAACCCTCCTAAGGAAACTCTCCTGGGCCAAAGTGTTCCCATGACAACTGATGTGCTATAGTCAGTGGTAGTGGTTAGCTGTGGGGTAATTGACTGCCTCTTTTCTCATACCCTGCCATTAGAAGCAGCCTTCTAAAATCCAGTGGCTTTGAAGATTCTGGAACACACTGGCAATTACAGCGGAGTCTGAGTTCCCGCCACATGCCCAAGATGCCAGTATTTACTACTTCTTCAGCAGAGTGTTTGTCTGTTAGACAGTGTTTGTTTTCCACCCATTTACCTCTGACTGGACAAAGCATCACTCAGCTGACCTTAGCTGAGGAGCTGCTCATTCTCCTGTGGCAATCCACAGTTGCTGCTGTTCCGAAGTGGACGACGGTCTCCACAACACTGTCATCTTCCTATTCGTACTACACTTTTAGAGATGAGCATCCCTTCTCATTTACTCCCAGCGATAAGATACCACCTCTGTGCCTCAGAATGCTGGCATTAGGTCCCAAGCTGACTCAGAAAAATAACTAGGCTTTTGAATGCCAAGCAAACACTCTGATTCCCATAGGAAGCTGAATTATAAATCACCATGTCCCAGATTTTTGCATCTTGTGGAAATAACTTAGGGAGGCAAATTTCTGTTTTCACCAAACCAGGGCATGGCAAAAACTCTACTATTTTGGACCCTGTGGTAAGAAAGAAGAAGCTTAAATTACTGCATAAAAGCGATGTTAGATAAAGCAAATGTAACTTTGTAATGTTTTTTCCTCAGTTCACTGGGGCTGGGTGAAAACTTGGCCAGGAGTTGGCTCTGGTCACTGGTTCTGAATTTGGGAATCCCTGTTCTATGAGATGTGTTAATTTAATTGTTGTATCTCTTTAAAGATCTTTTAAGCCTTTTAATTTGAGAGAACTGAAGTTTGGAACGAGGTAGCACTGCTTATTCTTTATCTAGACAAGTGCTCACAATGCATTTGAGGAATCATCTGTTATCTTGTAATGGCTTCACTGATGGATATCTTGTGCCTCCAGTCAGATTGTACTGCTAAATGGAAAGTACTGATAACATTTTAAAAAATTTATTTCTGTAATGTACACTAGTGTGCTGTTGAGGGGAACTCACTGATCATTTCTCTCTCTCTCTCTCTCTATTTTGGAAGTCATTGGACTCATAAATTTACATAGGCACATAAATGAAAAGTGCACATTTTTGAAGAATTAAATGAATTTTGTAAAGTACATAAACAAACTTAGGGATCACATCTCCAGCTTCATCTCTGTCTCCTAATGAAGCCAGGAAGATTAAAACATCCACTGACTAGATCTAACCCTGCACTTCAATATCTTGACAGCTTCTCATCATTTTTGATGATTTAGTAGTAATGGAGAGTGTAGCAATGTAGTTGAGCTTCTCCCACAAAATATCAGAATTGTTTTTCATTTTAATGTACTTTTAAAAAAATCATAAAATGTACCTTAAAGTGACAGTTGAGCTTCAATATTTATGACATTCTGATTGCTCTTGCAGTTTAGGAAAAAATTCAAATGAGCCCTCAGGTAAAATTTAAGTGGAAAAGATTAAAATTTGGAGTTATAGACTTCTTTTATTTGAACACATACTCACTTTTCCCTGGGTGTTTTATGTGCCAGTCTTAGTTTCCCCATATTTGACATTTTTTGGAAAAGTGCCTCATCTCTCTCCCAAAGTATACGAACAACTTTACTTTTTGAAAATAACTCCTTTTGCATCGGCACAATTTCCCCCACCCAACTTTTACACAACAGCCAACCATTTACATCGACATCCTGCAAATGATTGAGGTTGAAGAGGGTGAGTGAATGGAAATAGATAATGGCAGGGCTCCATCCATTATCATCAGGATGTTTACACCACAGTGATATCCACAGAGTTGATTTGCAGTGTGTACTTGGATTGTTTAATAGTCAACCTTACCATGGAATTCTTGTGGCTTCCTCATTCCTATGCATTATCTTGTGACTAAATTAAGCCATGTTTTCTTTTCTAAAATATAGCTTTTTAATCAGTTTATGATTTTGTGATTGCTCATGTCTTCAAATTGTGTTTTTTAAAACAATTATTTAGTGAGTGTGTTATTAATGTCAAGGATTTTGGAGAAAGAGAGTAGTAATATGACCATTTCCAGGTATATGTAATATAATTTCATTCTATAAAATCTTCTGTTAAAAGATTATGATGTGGCTAAAGAAAAATATGAATGTTGCTGACAGTTTTGGAAAGTAAGGAAGAATGAGTCCCCTTGAAGAGATTTACTGTAGATGAAAACTGCATTAGTCCATTAAAATGCCCAAATTTTATTAACAACATGAACTGTATACTTTTTCTTAGTTTTTCTAATTAATTTATTAATTCCTTCAACAAGTATATGAATGCTCAGCAGCTCTCTTTTTAATTCTTGTGGTATAGCAGCAAATAACAGACAAAAAGTTCTGCCCTTGTGGGACTGATATTCTAATAAATCATGGTGAAGTAGTTTACTATATTACTCTTATGAACAATAATTATGTTTTACAAAAGGTTGTTATGTGAGCTTACTGAGGCTTGTAGAGAAGACCTAAGTGGGCATTCATTGCACCTTAAGGAAAAGGAAGATAAATGAGTAATTGAGGGTTAGATCTCCAGGGGAGCATCACATCTGAGCCGTAGCACATACATATGTACTCTGGTGAAGAGAAATGAGCTAGCCATGAAGAAAGTATCATGGGAAACAAAGAAATTTTCAGGGTTGCTTGGGGAAGGTATTATGATTTTACATCTTCCCAAACTGTTGAAAGCATTCTAAAAGATAGATGATAAAAGCATCCTTGTAGGTAGTCTACAAGAAAATTTTAATTCCAATAAATGCCTGAAAAAAAAATCCAGACTTGGTTTGCTTTGGGGTGGAAGATGGTCTAAATTTTTAGGCAGAATTAACCCTAGTTCTAAAGGAGAAACCCGAGTTTGGTGTCTATTCCCTCATCTTTTACTCCCTCCTGTATCTGAGTAGTTATGTGCCCTGTCACACTCCCTGAAGAGGGGAAAGAGCTGTCTGTCCACTGGGTCGCACTGTTCTGTAGTAGCAGTCATTTTGTGTGAGCATGGAGGAGCCCCTTCAGTAAGCCCACACTTAGTGTTGAAATCTGTGGCAGAGTTACTTTGGAGGCAAGCGTGGAACTTGAGCTAACAGTTGTTCTAGTTGATATTTAAAGCTGTTTCTAACAAGGATTAGCAGGAGTAATAGTGAATTTCAATATAATGCACCTGAAGATGCTGTGACACAATAGCAAAAATTGCCTCACAGTTAATACCTTGGTAAGTAATGGAAATAAAACCTAGAAACAGGAACTCAATACACTGGAGTTTCTGGCAAACTGTATCTTAGGTTATGCCATGTGTATGGTTGGTTACTCTGTTTACAGGACGCCAAGCTTGACCAAGCCAACCTGTTCTGATGATCAGTCACTTACTCTTGCCAGGCTGGTCCCAGATGGAACTTTGTAAGGGACGTACTTCCTGTAGATATGACCAACTCTAGAACACGGAACATCAAACATTTCTCCTCCACACATCCAAACCTAAAGAAGGAAAATAAAAGAGAACAGTAAATTTCACTTAAGAAAGGGAATTA